CCTCTCATGTCTTTATAATGACATTTTAAATTGGTATATCCCCCCTTCAGGAGGGTTTCTCATGATATGTTTATCAGTACTTTAAAAAAAACCCTTTATTCTCACTGATAAGGAAATAGTCTGACCTATGGAAAAAGATAAATATATCAAGATACTGATCAGTGTTACTTATAATTAAAATGCTTACACAGTTTATTACTCATTTATTATTATTCAAGCCTGTTAACTTTCAAGAGTACAAAGGGCATTATTTATAGTTTTGCGTGGGCAATAGGTATACAGCAGAATCATTAGGGGCAAATTAGGATATATGGCCACGCTATTTACAACAGCCAAAACAAGATAACTTTAAAATGACCTAAAAGTCTAATAGAATACCTAAGTAGCGAATAATATATCCCTGTCATGGGATAGTATTCAGCTACTCCTGTGGGGAAAAAAAAAACATGTGGGCTAGAATACTAGAAGGGGCTATAAAATCCTATGTATAATTAAAATTAAGTGAAATCAAACATTTATAAAAACAGAAGGAAATAATTTTAAATCATAATAGTTATTTTAGAGAGATGTGCATGGTTTGAGTTTTCTCCATTATTTAATTTTCCAAATTTCCTATTTTGCATTTTAGAATTCTTTTAAAAAATATGCTTCATAGGGACGCCTGGGTGTCTCAGCTGGTTAAGCATCTGCCTTCAGCTCAGGTCACGATCCCAGGGTGCTGGGATCAAGTCCCACATCAGGCTCCCTGCTCAGCGGAGAGCCTGCTTCTTCCCCTGCTTGCCGCTCCCCCTGCTTATGCTCTCTATGACAAATAAAGTCTTTAAAAATATATATATGCTTCATAATCTATTAGAATGATAATCATTACGGTTTTCCAATCTGGTCCACCCTACTTATTTTATGTATGAGGATACTGACACACAGAAATGCTATGGGGCATGGCCAAAGTCACATGCCATGGCTAGAGGTAGCTAGACGGTTAAGAATCTATCCTCTCACTCCCAATGAGGGCTCTTGACCACTTCACTGAGCTGCCTTGAAAATGGCAGCAGTATGTCTTGCAATATAACACTAGACCTTTATTTTTGGTATTTAAAATAATCTGTACTCTGTTTCAGGAGTCAGGCTTGTTCTTAGGTGCTTCTTTTAAAATTTGAATCTTTGACAAAGAAGCTTATTGACTAGACTTACTTTTCTGGGGATCCCATAATTCTGTATGTGTCACTCATCTCATTACATATTGAAGGAGGAAAGAAGAAATGTGGGTAATACAAAGGAAGACACGTCCTCAAATTCAAAACGCTTGACTTTGGAACGTTACTGTCCTGTATGCTCCATTTCCTATGTGCTCTGCCACGGACCATTTCTCAGCACGCAGTCCAGGAATCTGGCGGGGTGTTGTTGAATTAAAATGTCCCAGAATCCCACAGATGACTCATTTTTAAGAAGGGTTAATGTACTTCTGAACAGTTTTCTGCTTTAAGTTGATTATTTTTTGATTAGGTAATCAGGGTGATAAGGCTTACTAGGACTATTATTTTTATTTTTTTATAAATATAAAAAAATAATAATATATAATAATATATAATATATATGATATATAATATAATATATAATATATAATAATATATAATATAATAATATATAAATATAAAAAAAACTTAGACCTCTCACAAGATGTAGTATTTGCTGTGTCCTTATTCTTTCATTTTGGGCCTCATATATGAGAACAAAGTTAACTTGCATATCTCTTGAGGCACATGCTGTGTTTTGCTTAATTTTGTGCTTCTAATGGTGATAATAGGGGTTAATTAACTTTTATTAATCAACAATGCCACCTGGTGGCCAGAAAGTACATTTTATGGCGCCCGTGCACACTGCAATCAACCTTTTTGTCTTTTGATATAAATAACCTTAGCAGCATTTGAAGCATTTTTTTATTAGTGAAGTTTTTAAAAATGCCTAGTTTGGTTTGGCAAAAGTAAGAAAGTCATGGAATACTGTAAGTCTAACATGGCACATCGAAATGACTAGTCTGTTGTCATTGTTTCTCAGGAAACTCATGCAGGATACTTGGTTCTAAATGGTATGAAGTAAGAATTCCCTATGACTAACGCAAGCGTGTCTGTCTGGTCTCTGTTCCTGGGTTTCACCTGGGTTGTAACAGTCACTGGGGCAGCTGGTGGTTTCACTGCTCCTCCCGTCTGACTCAGAGGCTGATCGGTCACATTCTTCTCATTCTGCAGTTAAGGCACTGAGTGATTCTGAACTGAGGGGGTCATAGTCTTGTCTTCCTGGAAAAGGTAGAAGTTCTCAAAATGATATCCTGCAACAAGGTGCCCTGGAAATATAGATGGGTGGATAGATTCACTGGAAAGTTGAATTTCTAAAATAACGGTTTTGGAAAATTGGATTTTGAAAGTTGAAATTAATTTGGCCAAGAAAGTAAGCCTAACTCCTTTACCTCCTTGGTTAAAAGCATGATTTTGCAACACGTTGGTGGTGGGTTTTCCGCTCAGCTCATTTGTGTATTTCCACTCTGTTCCTTAAAGTTCAGGATAGCAGGCAGCAGCTGAACTTGAGCTCAGGGAAAGAAAATGAAACTCAGAGGCTTATCAGGCTCAGCCCCATGATTCTGAGGTCAGTATTTCCTAATACGGACATCTTCCACAGAGCTCTCTTTGTTTAGAGAAATGTGTCCATTTGCTTGGGTATATTTCTCTATTAAAGAACAAAAGTTGAAGACAAAGTAGGAACTTGACATTAATCTGATACTTAGGTAAATTTGCTTTCCTTTCCACACTCTTCACCTCACCAGAGGCTTTAAGGAACCTCACTTTTGATTAATGAGACATCCTGGATACGGAGAACATGTAGGAAGAAGAGTACGTTTTTCTCCTTAGCCCCATCACTCTCGTAGAAAAGTTAAATATTTGGACTCACCGAAGATGGCTTATAAATGGAATGCATTCTGAGTGGGGTCAGAATGAAATTAAGTTAATTTTTCATCTCCAGGTGAAGCAAAGTCTAATGTGTAATAAATGTATTTTGTTAATTTTTGTGGTTTTCTTATCCATGTGATTTGTAGCGTACTCTCCAACTTGTGCATTCAGATTGCTTTAAGAGCTAAATTGCTAGTGATGGTCTCCAGCAAGATCAAACTTACTCCGTGGTGTACAGAAGCTTAATGTCCTCATACATAGTGTCTCTCCAGGGCTTGTTGCCAGTGGTGGATATTTATAATGTGCATGTCTAGACTCATACAGGTTCTTGTATCACTGTCTCAAAGATGTACAGAGTTTCAGCAGTGAGGTGTGTGTGTGTGTGTATCATCTATTGAGTTTAAAAAGCTGACACTAACATCCAAGTTTCCCTTTGTGTCTTTGAGCATGACTTCATCAATCCATGGCATGAAATTATACCTATTCCATAATATTGCTGAATGGAGATTGATTCTGATAAAAGTGCAGTCTCTTGCTATGCCTTTCCTCTTTTAATTTTCTCAACTCCCACTGGCATTAGGATTGGTTTCAGCCTTTATTGCCTTTTACCCAAACACAATCCTGGTCTAAGAAAATTATTTATATTTTTATTCATTAAGCATTTCTTGTCCCCTGTATGCAAAAGCCCTGGCTAAGTGCTGCGAGGAATAGAAAGATGAATCAGATATGGGTCCTGCCCACAAGGAGCTTTGAGTCTAATGAGAAAATGATAGAAGACATAAAGTAACTACTGTAATCTATTATTCAAAGGGAGAGAATATTTCTTTTAAATGGGAAGTTTGATAAGAGAAGAGGAATTTGAGATGAACCTTGAAAAATAGGAGTAGAATTTTTATATGCAGAGACAGAAAAGGATTCAGTAGAAGGGAACATTAGAGACAAAAAGTATGGAGCCAGGGACCACATGGGAAGCATTTAAGGCATTATGCAGAGTCAGACTTTGGTCAGAACAAAGGGCCTGTGTTAGGTAGTAGAGAAAAAAATCAGAAAAGTCAGTAGGGATCATGTAGTGGGGGGAATTTAAATTCCAGGGAACAGAATTTGTTTTGGGGTTTGTGTGTGTGTGTGTGTGTGTGTGGTTTTTGTTTTTTGGGATTTTTTTTCAGAATTTGTTCTGAGAGGTAATGGGAAGCCATCAAACATTTCTCAACAGAGAATGAAGTACCTTGAGATCCCATGGCATTCCTTGCTGTTAAAGACTTACAAAATATAACCTATTGCTTTAATTTTTTTTCTGTATTGTAAGAACTACTATATACCACATAGCTTATTTAAAGATCAGCTTCATCGAGACCAGAGTTTCTCAACTGCAGCCCTATTGACATTTTGGGTCAGAGAATTCTTTGTTGTAGGGCTGTTTTGTGCATTTGTAGGATATTTAGCAGCATCCCTGGCCTGTAGCCACTAGATGCCAGTAGCACCCCCTTTTCCGTTGTGACAATGAGGAATGTCTCCAGACATTTCCAAATGTCCCCTGGTGGGCAAATTTGCCCCATTTGAGATCCACTGCTCTAGACATATGTATTGTATTCCTCTGCTTTTCTCTGATTGTTAGACTCTTAGATTGACAAATCCCTTAGGCGTTCAGTCTATTAATGCTTAGAATTTTGTACTGGACATACATCTGATTTGAAATTAAGGCATTTCATCTGTGTTGGACTAAAAGTGCTGAACTGGGCATCAGAGACCTGGATTTCTAGTCCTAGCTATGCCACAAAGAGGTTGTGGTTTCAGTGAGACCCTGTGCTCAGTAACCTGATACCTCTTGAAAATGACCAGTGTGACCCCTGATGCTCTTTCTACCTCTGAGCCTGTGTCCTGGTTTCATATGCATCTCCGGGCTTTATTCTTTCACATTTTTTAGAAAGTTAGCACACATTGAACTAGTACCTATGTTAATCAACAAGACTGACTGACGTATATTGAATAAGAAAGATGAAATGTTTTTTTCCTTTGTGCTTTATTTTACTAAGTATTATAATCCTTTCCCTCTTGTAGATTATTTGAAAAATCTTCTAGAGGACTCTGGAGATTACAGAGACACTCAAGGTAAATAACTTTCATGGTATTAATATGTTGCAGAAGTTCTTATATTACAGCTGGCCATGGGACCCAGCATTGTCTGGAGTGAGGAAGGTTCCTACTTTGCTCAGTCACTCTGTGCCAGTGGTAAATTCACCTTCTCTGGATGACTGTTGCTTGAAAAGCAGGGATTGAACCAGTTGATCGCAAGGTGGTTTCAGGCTTTAAAATCAGAGTCCGTGAAGTGATCAAACTATACGAATCAAGGATAAAGTCTAAAATAGCATATTCTGGGACTGTTTAATGCTGGACAATTGCCTTACCACCCTTCTACCCCTCACCCCTAGTAGCACTTAAAGGAAAACTTCCATTACAGTACAAGGAACTCATTGATACTCACAGGTTAATCCACTGTGTGTGTGTGTGTGTGTGTATCTTACACATATACACACACAGGGATTAATTCTGTTCAGGATAATAGTGTTTCTTTCAATTTATCCCCTAAGTACCTCTTTCAAATGCTATAGGTATATCACTGGCTCTAATTTGAAGTCCATGTCCACCCCATTAATTTTATGAATTTTTATCACATTTCTTGTGCATACTTTATATTTTCAGATTACAAAATGGAACAGGTTTTTAACCCATTTTGTAGAGATTCTTATTTGTTCTCTTAATCATTTTACTTCTACTTTTTTTTTTTTTTTTTTTTAGAGAGAGAGAGCAGGAGTGGGGGGAGGAGCAGAGGGAGAGGGACAAGCAGACTCTGCGCTGAGCACAGAGCCCAACTCAGGGCTCGATCCTACAACCCCGAGATCATGACTGACCCAAAACCAAGAGTTAGCTCACAAAGTAATGCATGTCATTTCCTAAGGCCTAGTATGCTTCTTTGTGGCATTTCTTCCCTCTTGAGATCAGACTAAGAAAAGGCAGCTAAGCCCTGACCCTCTAAATCATCACTTTTCATAGTTCTGGTTTCCTATCCCAGGGTACTTCTCTCCTAAGGCAGTTCATACTGGAATGGTCCTTAACTTCCACGTGAAATCCTTTCCTTATCCTTGTAAGCTTCAACAGGCTAATCAAAGCTCAGCACAAAGCAAGCCTGACATTCATACTGTTGATACATAGCGCCTATAATGTCTCCCTTAAAGTCTTTCTCAGGCTCATTTTTTTTTCATGAGTCCTGTTTGTCCTTTGCTGTTGCCCTCATCGTCCATATTTCTGCCTACCCCAAGTTAACGGAGCTCCTCCAGTGGTTGTTGCTACCAATTCGCCATCTAGCCATCTGGACTAACCTGGTGTTCCTTCCATTTCTACACATTTTAGATGCCCTTGCTGTCGTTATAGAGGTTGCCAACCATGCCAATGACACCATGAAGCAAGGAGTAAGTATCTCGATTTCAGTGGCTGGCATACTGTTGAACCTAGGGGCCCAGGCCTTCATATGCTACATATTCTCTTTCTGTAGGACAACTTTCAGAAGCTTATGCAGATTCAGTACAGCTTAAATGGACACCATGAAATAGTGCAGCCTGGACGGGTAAGTGGTTTAGACTGCCTTTTGCAAATTTAATGCAGTGCATTTAGACACCTCTTGTAGCTGTTTTGTATTTCAGTTATGAAAATAGGTTATTTGTTGTTGTTACTCTCCACTGACTCGATCTGGATCAACTCTAAGTTCTATCCATTCAAAACATTCATGATTTAAGTCACTGTGACAAAAAGTCCAATTCAATTAGGAGAATGGCAAGGGACCCCACAGAGTATCTGATTAAATAGGATCATTTTATTGTGTAATACTAACTGACCTCACACAGCTTTAAAGACAACTTCATTTAAAATCTTTAATGTAAGAGGGGATTATGAGGGGAAGGAGAAAATTGGTGTTTTGGTTCTCCTCATAGAGCACAAAAGTGGCCTACGGAATGAATTCAGGAAAATTACAAAATGCAATTGTCAGGATGTTGGCTCAGTCAGTTACATTTCAGACCACATAGTACCCCTGGGACCAATCCTGGATTTATGAAACTCTGCCGGCTTGTCCAACTACTTAAAAGGTTTAAGAAGAAACCGTGACTGTAAAAAGTCACGTGGAAATTATGTCCACCCAATCCCACCTCCAAAAAAAATTCTGGAGAAAGAAAGTTGAAAAACAAATTATATGCATATTGTAGTTGCGTAAGGTGGGACTAAATGGGCATTTGTTTGGATGAATCAGGTTTTTCTCAAAGAAGGAACTCTGATGAAGCTGTCTCGGAAAGTCATGCAGCCCCGAGTGTTTTTCCTGGTAAGTGGCCATGTGTGTTTCTGATGAGCCACAGGAGGGGATAATTGCCTAATAGAAGGAGACATTTGTATATGACAGATAAGCTTACACATTCAGAGAGTTTTAGTGGGATCTTTGGCTGACTGTCTTGCTTACTTGCATTTCAAGTATGGGGAAAAAAGTTCTTTTATGATGCATAGCCAGGAAATTATTTCCTTTTTGAATTCAGTTTATGCCATTCCTAACTTAGAAAAGTTGATTGTAATACTTTAGTGGCATTTAGAATTCAGAAAACATACCTGTTACAGAACTTGGAAAGAAAGCACATTTTCTAGAAATTGCCTTTTTATTAATAATTCTAATAAAGCATTCTGGATGGCCATAGTTTAAGCAGACGTAAGTGTTTTTATTCAGAGAAATTTTAACAACAAAGTAGTATTTTTCCTTTATTTCAGTCTTACCAGTGTCTTGGTAGCTGACATTTGTTGCTTTACTTCATCCTATGCAACATTTCTACTTTCAGTTTAATGATGCCCTGTTGTATACAACACCAGTGCAGTCGGGGATGTATAAGCTGAACAATATGCTTTCATTGGCTGGAATGAAGGTCTGTGCGTCTGCTAGAAGATACTTCTTTTCTTTTGTTTTCTTTTTTTAAAGATTTATTTATTTATTTATATTTATTTGAGAGAGCGAGAATGAGAGAGAGAGAGCATGAGAGGGGGGAGGGTCAGAGGCAGATGCAGGCTCCCTGCCGAGCAAGGAGCCCGACGCGGGACTCGATCCCGGGACTCCAGGATCATGACCCGAGCCAAAGGCAGTCGCTTAACCAACTGAGCCACCCAGGCGCCCAAAGAAAGACTTTTTTGAATATTGGCTTTTTTTTTTTTCTCTTTTAAAGAAAGACTTTACACTTTGTGTCATGTAAATGCATCTTTTGAGGTCTTTTCTGTAGAGCTGCTTTAAATTCTAATTTTTTTTTTAAATATGGATTTGGGGAATCAGCCATATGTTTTTTTTTTTTTTTAAAATTTAATTAATTAATTGAAAGAGAGAGACACAGCGAGAGAGGGAACACAAGCAGAGGGAGAAGCAGAGTTCCCACTGAGCAGGGAGCCCGATGTGGGACTCGATCCCGGGACTCCAGGATCATGACCTGAGCCGAAGGCAGTCGCCCAACTGACTGAGCCACCCAGGCGCCCCGAAGATATTTCTTTTCTTAACCCAAACATACTTAGAGAAGGAGCCCTAAGATAATCATCTTTCTCACATCCCTGACTTTTCTCTCTCCCTGTGTTACCGTTTATATGTTCATTTATTCATTCATTCGTTATTTGTTCACTCATACATTCATTTAATCATGAGATATTTATGGAGAACTATAAACAAATCATGGTAATAGATTTGGCCAAAAAAAAAAAAAAATACAAAGATGGATTGAATCATGATTGTTTTTGTTTCTGCCTCACCCAGTCCCCGTCCCCCCGCCCAGGAGCTTAGCAACTAGTTGGGAAGATAATAGACAGTAATAAATACCACTGTGAAGTTTCAGTTAACGTTTTGGGGAGTTCTGGGGCGCCTGGGTGGCTCAGTTGGTTAAGCGTCCGACTCTTGGCTTCAGCTCAGATCATGATCTCAGGGTAGTGAGATTGAGCCCAGAGCTGGGCTCCACACTCAGTGCGGAGTCTGCTTGAGATTCTCTCTCCCTCTCTGCCCCACCACCCCCTCCTTAAATAAATAAATAAATAAAATCTTTTTAAAAAGAAAAATTTGGGGGAGTTCAGACAATAAGGAATGTGCAGCTTTCGGTGGGACCTGGTGGAGGAGACAGGGAGAATTGAGGAAGTCTTTGGAGGAAGAGCCACGAGCCTTAAAGAATAGGTCACATTTGGCCACACTGAGATGCAGGGAAGGCATTCCAGATAGAGGGAGTAGCGTCAGCAGAGGCCTGAAGGTGGGAAAGTTGGGCCTATGTATATATAGGCATTTAACTCTGGCACGCAGAGCATATGAGGGAGAGTCATGGTACATAAAGTTGAGGATGGAGGTTGGTGGTGGCTGACAGCAGCCAGGGCATTGAGCAGTTTTAGCTACACTTCAGAGATGAGATTTGCAATAGGCTGAATTTGCTCAAACTGTTTTGCTTTCTTCAAGGTCAGAAAACCCACCCAAGAAGCATATCAGAATGAACTAAAGATTGAAAGTGTAGAACGCTCCTTTATCCTCTCAGCCAGGTAAATTTCTAAAATCTGTGTATGTGAACATTTGCCGGTATTACAGGGTCATACATCTCCAGCATTTTTTACATTTAGGTTAACTACTACTTTCTTTTTTCCTTCTTTTCAGTCCTAAAACCATGGAGTTTATTCTTGGCTTACCATGTAGGTAAAATGTCTGATTGCTGATCCAGTAATGTGTTTGAAGCACAAAAGTAAAAATGTTCTGTGAAGAGAATAATAATGCTGAAAAGTGCCTTGCTGATCTTTTTTTTTTTTTAGTGAATACTTCAAACTTTTACAATGGCACCTAATGTTTTTAAAGATACCTAGTGCTTTATAATTCACTAGGAAGTTTTCACGTAACATTGAAAGGTCATAACAAACCTAGGTACTGTCATCTCACTAAAAATGAGGAAGACTAAGTTAGAGAAAAAGTGAATTGCTGTCTTCATGATACATAGCTGGCAAAATCAGGATACAAATAGAAATTTTTTACTTTTAAATCTGTTGTTATTTATGATACCACATTGCCTCAAAATGGAACCTGCAGTGACTTACTATGTGTAAATCAAAATATATTACCATTATTTAAATCAAGTGCCAAGGAAACCAGAAGCTGTATGACTCATACGTGTACATTACTGAGTTACTGGCCAAGTGGCAGAAGTGAATGTTTGGCAGGATTTGGCTGGTGTAGGGAGAGACACCAACAGCCACAGCATGCTCCACTGCTGGACCTGGATAGCAAGTCTCAGCAGCTCTCAAACGTAACCTTTAATGTAATAAAAATAGTAGCAAACACTTATGTAGCATTTACTTTGTGCCAGGCACTATCCGAAGCACTTTCTGTGTTTTCATTCATTAAATCTTCATAACAACCTAATAAGGTGAGTTTACTAATTTTATACCCATTTTATGGTGAAAAAAGCCATCCAACTATTAAGTGTCAGGGCCAGGATTTGAACCCAGGCAGCCTGCTTCCCACTGTGTCTGTACCAGTAAAATCAACTGGAATTCTTAGTAGCAGCTAGAGTCCTAACTGGAGCCATTTAGTACCTGGCATCAGGCACAATGCTGAACTTGTCATTTATTTTCTCTTTTAATTTCCATGATAACTAGGAGGGTAGGTGTTGTCTTGACCTTCCAGATGAGAAAAATACAGGCTCAGAAAGGTTAAATAACACATCTAAGATTATACAACTACTAGGCAGTGGAGCCCAAATTTTAACCTAGGTATATCTGACAGTGAAAGTCATGCTTTCAACCATTATCATATTGCCTATGTCCATGGATGTCAAGGACTCAGACCAAATGTCTGACTTCCCATACTCAGGACAAAAGCAGCCCCCTGGGTCATTGTTACTCTTCTGAAATGGAATGGCCACTGTGCCTGATACCAGATCTGGGGATGAGAGAAGACAAATAGGTTTTGTTCAAGGTTTGTCAAAAGCCAACTACCAAAGCAAAGCAGTTTCTGGGGGGGTACCTGAAGCATCCTGCAGATTAATATTTGGAGAGTGATGGTAAACTCTTGGTCACCTGGAACTGAGACCCTTTTTTGTTTGTTTTGTTTGAATTTGAGTTTGAATTTGAACAAAAGTGCCAGGAATATCAAGTCTCTATGTAGCAGGCTCCTGGCAAATACTTAAGCTTGGTTCTTAAAATCAAGAAAGTGACTTTCAAATATCCACAGAGAAAATACCTACAGGAAAGTCAAGTTTTCAGTTGCACTTAAATATCCTAACTAAAAATATGCTTTGGTAAAAACAATTACATTTTATTAAAAACTAAGTAATTTAGGAAATGATGGTAAGTCCTTTTTTCTTTGGTTGCCATTCAGGCAAATATGTGGATGTCCAGATCAGCCTCTTAGACCTTAGTAAGGTCTTTGGAATTTTATGTGTGATAGGAAACCATCTGAGGGTCTTAAACTAAGAATTGGTATGATCTCATGTATATTTTTAAAAGAGGGCCCTGGCTTCTTTGTAGAAGATAGACCATCAGAAACTAGTTTGGAAGTTGGGAGACCAGGTAGGAAGCTAGATGAAGCTCTCTTGGACTAGAATGGTAAGAAATGGTCGGAGTCAGGTAGAGTTAATAGGATTATTGATGGATTGAACGTGGGTTCCGCGGGAAGAACGAGAAAACCGGAAAGTTCTTGATAAAGGGAGAGTAAATTTCCAAGGGAGGATTAAGGTGGCCTGGGGGAAGGGGAATGTTGCATGCTGAATGCCGCCAGTGTGCCATGCTCTTCTTCTGGGCGCCCCCAACCACAGCGAGCGGGTACGGTATAACCTGTAGGAAGGAGATGAGAGGTCCTCCTGTGATCTGGGTCCTGTCTACCTCACCAGCCTGATTTCCGTCCATTCGCCCTGTCCCCCACCCGCTACAGAGCATGGCATATACTGCCAGCGTGGATCTGCTTATTCTCCATGCATGCCAGCCTACCTCACATCCTTCTGCCTTTTGCACAGGCAGCTGCCTCTGCCTGGAATTCATCCCTTCGTTCAGTAAGTAATGTGGATCCTCTACCCTAGGCCAGGCATTGTGCCAGGCATCAGGATAACGTGGAGAATTAAAAGGGTCCTTCCTTCCCTGACCTTACAGTCTGTTAGGGAAGACATATGCTTAGCAAAATGTCAACACAATCGATTATTATTGTGATTAAGTAGTACACAGGAAGACTACCCGGTGCTATGAGGCTGTAAAACAAGGAGCCTTGAACTACCTTTGGTGGAGAAAGGGCAGTCAGAGATAGCTTCCTGAAAGACCTGCTGTGTCAGTTGAGTTATAAAAGATAAGAGTTGGATAGCAAGGCCAAGAGGAAAGGAAGAGGCTGCTGGTCATTGGGAATAATGTGTAAAAGGCCCTAAGGTGGAAAGGGCATAGCAGATTAAAAGAACTGAAAGACCAGAATGGCATGAACATAGAGAATGAGAGGGAAAGCCAAGGTAAGCCTGGAGGGACAGGGGAAAGCTGAGGCAGAACTTGTGGATTTTGGTCTTGAGCCAAAGAGCCACAGGAAACCACTGAAAGGTTTGTACAAGGGAATGATGTGATCAGATTGGCCTTTTTAAAAGTTGGTTGGTAGGTGGAAAATGGTTTGGAAGGGGAGGTAAAGGAGATGATGATTGGGGTTGAGAGCCAGAGGCATTAAGAGCGAGTCTCTGGCTCGTACCCTGTGCTGGCAGGGGTACCATTCCCTGTGATAGGGAACGCCAGGAGAGGAGCAGCGTTGGGTGAAGAATCAGGAATTTAGTTTCAGATGTGCATGTCGACCATGAGGTGCCTATCAGTCATGGAGCCATCAGGGCGCCTGGGTGGCGCAGTCAGTTGAGCGTCCAGCTCTTTATTTCAGCTCAGGTATTGACCTCAGGGTCGTGAGTTCAAGCCCTGAGTTGGGCTCCAAGCTGGGCATGAAGCCTACTTAAAAAAAAAAAAAAAAAATGGAGCCATCAATGAGGCAGTGCCTGTAAAGATCTAGAGGTCAGAAGGGAGCCCAGACTTGGCATATATTTGGGAGTCATCAGCTTAGAGAAAATAACCAAAGCTAGGAGGCCGAATACAGGTGCACAGAGACACTACAAGGTTGCCTGTTGAACTCCTCAGTTCTTCCAGTCCTAACATACTCATCCCCTCTGCAGAGCTTTCCCTGCTACCTAAATAAGGTAATTTACTGCTTCTCTGTTCCTCATTTACCTTACCTTTATTGTATCATGCAGTAATTACTTGTTTTTGTGTCTCACCTCAATTAGATATGAGCCCTTACAAGTGGTATGTTTTTTATGTGAGATTCATGGCTTAGTACCTGGCCCTCGGTAGGCTCCCACTAAATGCAACTCAGATGAATTGAAATGAAGTGATGTGGCCTTTAGACCTCAGAATAGCATTCCATAGTTACACAAGGAGTAAATGGTGTGTCAAGATCTAACATACCAGAAACCCCTTCTATTGGAGGTTTTTTGGAATGCATCCCCATCAATGGGAGAATGGTGCTTATTTAATATAAATTTGCTTTCTGGGTAATGTACACATTCCATAAAGAAAAGAATACTTGGTTTAACTGCATTTTAAGTGAGTTTAACTGAGGAAGGTGCTGATTCTTCTGCTAACTGTGTTACAAAAGAAGACCTAGAGTCTCCACTCAGTACTGCAGGCAAATGTGTGTGGTCTGTGAGAAATGTGTTATCAAGAGCTGGTAAACATTGTTTTGGCAGATCCCCACACAAGAGAGAGCCAGGAATGATTAGATGAAAGAACAGCATATGTGACATGATTTGCACAGTCAAATCACATTCCACATGCTCCCAGGGCTCCAGAAAAATCAGACGGCAATTCTCAAATTAACCATCTGCCTCTCTGCTTTCTTTTACCTCTTCCACTGAAAAGGGCGGAAGGGGAGAGAGAGGGAGGGACAGTATTTTGTGAAGGTTTACTTGGAAGCTTAAGCATATATTCTCATAGCGTAATTCAGAGAAGAGAGGTGAATGACACACGGTGGTGAAGGGTTCAGTCTTTAGCCACACTTGGGTCTGATACCAAGTCATGTAGGCTGTTGTCTAAAGCAAATTGTCTAACATTTCAAATCCTCAGATTGCTTATCTGTAAATGGTGCTCGTTGGTGATAGTGATGGTATTGGGGAAAGGAGATGTAAGATCCAATATGTATTCCGTGGGGTAGCTCTGAGGATGAGATGCGATGACATTTGCAAAGCATTTAGCACAGTTGGCTGACATGTAGTAACTTGAATAAATGGCAGCTAGTTGGACAGTAATGGTAGAGTGTTTGGCTTAGAGAAATAAGAGCTGTTGTATTTGATTTTTAAGATTCTGCCACAATAATTTTTTTTCTCAAGTATTTCAAAACTTAAGATTGCTGCCATAATAATTTTTTTTACTTAAGATTCTGCCACAATAATTTTTTTTCTCAAGTATTTCAAAACAGATCGCAGATATCAGGTCATTTTGCTCCGACATACTTTCATATGCCTTTCTAAAACAAATACACATTTCCTTACACAATCACATTCCCATTATTATGATAGATTTTATTTTATTATGAGAGATTATTAAAGTCTGTCTACACACACATACACACAACCTAAAATGTGCCTCTCACTCTCGAGTATTCAAAACTGAATGTGCGGATGATACCAGCAATGATTTGGAGTCACCAGAGTTTTTTTGGGAGGAGATATGGTTACAATAAAGCAGAACAAGAATGCCTTTTTCTGAGCAGGCTTTCCCCCTATTTGGCCTATCTCTGTCTAGATTTGAACCCTTTAGCTCCTTATGACCTGAGGGTAGAAACAGAAAGCAGGATGGGCGGAATAGGTAGGGGATTTCCCTTGTTACCCACTCCCTAAACATCTGTCTGTGGTACCAAATATACGTTTCCTTTACTCCAGTGCCCTTTCTAGGAGTTTTTAGTAATATTTAGTAACCTAAAAAGAATTAGTATTCCATGTTGTAAATTTGGATTTGAAACTTGATTCCTTGGAATATTTTTTAAATTCTACGATTATATCTCAGGAAACTCCCTGGTTATGTAAATAACCATAATTATTAATTGTATGACTAGCTCTTAAACCAAGCAAAAAAACTTTCACATTTAAGAGACTTCAAAAGTATAAAGCAATACTTTGGGGAAGAAAAAAAGCATTGTATTTGCTAAAATGCCATGTGTTCTTTAATGCCTGCTCTGATTATTTGTGCTTACGAACCTCAGAGCTCCTGCCTGTGACTAGCATTGTTGGGGAGGGCGGTGGCATCTGTTGCCATGGCAGGAGGAAGAGAAGGAAGAAAAAGGCAAAGAATAAAAGCTGACATCTGGTTGATGGAACCTTCTTTTGCCCCCAACAGTTCTGCCACAGAAAGGGATGAATGGCTAGAAGCGATTTCCAGGTCAATAGAAGAGTATGCCAAAAAAAGAATCACATTCTGTCCTAGTAGGAGTCTTGATGAGGTATTGTCTTTCCCTTCTTGTTTTTTTTTTTTCTCAGTGCATTTCAAACAGTTTTTACCCTAAAGAAACTTTTCCCAGGGGTTTAGAAAAGCAACATGTGTTTCACAGAAAGATCCGTGTGTGGGTATAATTTCAGAGCTAAATATCCTGTTAATGTCTCACTGCAAGTCTGTGATAACATACAGCATATTCATATTTTTTCTGGTTGTAAAATTTCATTGTAAAAAATTGGGGAAATACAATATAATTTAAGGAAGAAACTAATCAGCTGTCATGGCACTACCACAGGTATCTTTTTAAGTTAGTTTTGCAGCAAGGATTATTAGGATACCGCTAATCTTAATATCGTGGGAACATGACAACTATAATAGCCCATCATTCATCCCATGTCCTTAATGACACCATCAGCATTGTGAGCCCTCATTGCCCCAAGAAAAAAAAAAAAGGCTCAATTCTGTAGCACTCCATGTGCATGGAAGTAATGAAAAGTTGTTCTTCCACAGGCTGACTCAGAAAATAATGAGGAAGTTAGTCCTCTTGGATCAAAGGCTCCCATCTGGATCCCTGATATCAGAGTCACAATGTGTATGATCTGCACAAGTGAATTTACTCTCACCTGGAGAAGACACCACTGCCGGGCCTGCGGGAAGGTTAGAGAAGTTCACACCCATCTCCATTGTGATTGTTAGTTCCAGGCTGTACATAGTGAGGAAGCATCTTTCCTCCTGTAAATCACGGCAGGGGGAAGGAAGATACCCAATCATTGATGATATTTTCTCTAAATATTTAGGCATAGGGTATCTTACCCCTACCTACCAAGGGTATTGTAGAATGTCAATAATAGATAATTTTCATTAAAAAAAAATTCACAATTAACTAGACTCCCACATTTACTGATAATTATTTAAACTACCTTTATCTAGATACTAAGTATTTAATAGAAGTACTTTCAGTGTTGAAATTATCGCCAGTGAGGTGTCTAAGCCTTCGTGACCTCGTTAGTTAAATGAGCATGGTAACATTGATATCAGAGAGTTACCAGGAAGATTAAACAGGGCCTCTTTACGGAGCATTTAGTAGAGGGCCAGACACTTGGTGGAGGCACAGTTAGACGTGATCATGGTTACCTAGCGATGATGACAGGCAACGTCGGTGATGATAAATACAGCTAACAGAGGACTTCGTGCATGCCACGCATGGTTCTAAACATTTTGCACACGTTAATGCTGTTAGTATTTTATTTTATGGAGTTAGCACTTGGTCGTAGTGTGTCGCCTCTTCATCTTCCAGGGTGGTGATGTGTGTGAGTTCACCATAGGCCTGACCTCCACAGAGGTGTTAGAGTCAGTGACTGAGAAAAGGTACTGAAAGCACTCTAGGTAGATAGCATCATCTGTTGTAGCCTAGTCGGTGGTTTGATG